ACACACACATACACAAGACTTAATTCTTAAATGAATGCTCTAATTTAAGCGCTGGCAATCACTGGTGAAAGACTGAGTGAGGAGACGTGTAATGGTATCAGAGTCAGGGGCAATTAAAATTGATGAGAAGTATTTTCTGACAAGTGTAGAATACGGACAGCTTATGTAAGATTTTCTTACATTGGTTCATTGAAAATGAATGAAAAAAATGGCGATACCCCTACACTAACTTTTTCCTTGTATTGGACTGTGAGTGTATGTGTATGTGTGTGTGTGTGTGTGTGTGTATGTGTGTGTGTGTGTGTGTCCCAGGCTTCCTTGAACTTGGTCGTCCCCAGACGCCTAATAAAATGTGCAGGTTCAGCCAAATGCGCTCATTGAGTAGCAAGTTGAGGGTTTGTTGTGTTGGGGTGAGGACGTGCATCGTGCTGGCGGGGGGCGAGAGTGGGCTCCCCCAAAAGGTCCGAGAACTTGGAGCCTAGTTTGTCATGCTAACCGCAGCAATGGCATTGAATGCGGGCACAGGGAGCAGAAGGTTCACAGGACCCCGGCCATTCTCATGCAAAGTTAGTCAGGGGGCTTCTGGTCCGGCTGTCCACCCACCACACGCACACAACCCCCCCCCCGGCCTCCGCTTTTACACAAGAAAATACATACATGTGTATGGATGGACACACACTCGAGAAAAGCAGAGCCGGGCCCCCTTCCTTAATCCATCCCTGAGCTGTGAAGTTAGGCTGAGAAACAATGGAGACGAACCTTTAATGACAGCCAGCACACTCACCTTAAGGCTTTCATTTCCAAAAATCCTTTGTCTAAACAAGAAAATGTCTTTTTTTATAATTCCCAAAGCTGCAAGAGGACATTGGGAATTAGGTCACGCTTGCTAGCAGCAAAAAATTAGTGACAAAAAAGGTTGCACATCTACTTCATCATAATAACCAAATCTCTTTTTTTTTGTTTATATGGGAGAAAAGCGCCACACTTCAAATGAACAATTATCCATAGCTTCCTGTGACCCTGCCATCGTTTTGACAGCCAGTGGCATAAAATCGGCATATTTTTTTTATTTATTTTTTTAGAATAATGCTGAAACTGCCTGTTCCAAGAAAGGCAACTTCTATTTTGGATTCTATTTCAGCGGCTGGTAAATCAGCCCTAACCCCCTGATTCTCATGTCTGCATGTGGGCCGCAGCTCTAATCTGTTGCACCTCATCCGGAGATCGGGAGAAGCCACAAGTCATTTGGTGCGGAATCCGTTTAAATGCCAAAGCGGTGCAAATGTCAGCTGCTCCGATGCATTTCTCTCTCCTTAAATGCAAAACGCCACATGCAAATGAATGCTAACCGCCCTCCGGGCTTAAAACAGGCCGTGTGTGTGTGTGCCAAGATTTATGTGCACACGTTTATGTGCACCATATAGCTCCGCAACCGGGGGAGTGAAGGAGTCCCTGCTTGTGTGTACGCTTGTGTGTGAGAGTGTGCGCCCCCTCATCTGCACTTCGGAGTCGTGGTTTGGAGCCTGCGTGTGTGATTGAGTGAAGGCCAACGCAGCCTGAACACTCCCTCTAATGGAAGAGAGGAGCCCAGCAGCTCCGTAATGCACTGACCTCAGAGCTTTTACAACGCCGCCGGCCGATAAGTGGCATTATGCTGGATCTTATAAAATTAACAAGACTGCGCAATGGCGGAGAGGGAGCTCGGAAAAGGGTCGTCGCATAAAGCAACGGCAATCTTACGTCTCTTGTAAATAGCGGCAGGTGTACACAAAAAAGGACTGGAGCTTTTTTCCCGGACTGAGTCTCATAGTCACAGGAGCGTGATTACAGCTGCTTTTCCATTCATGTTGTGGCTTTTTAAGGGGAATTTTACAGACCCTTTTATGTTAGATAAAACATCCCCTCAAAGGATTTTCTTTTTTTTAAATGCCCGTGAATTTATGAAGGCTTCTCTGGAGTCAGGTGCTCGGAAAGCTAACGCAGGACGAACCCCTCAGAGGGATGGAGCCCAGCCAGAAATGGCTTCTGCAGGGTGCCACAAAGAGCGTGCATGTGTTTTCTGTCGACCGCAATCAATTAAAAAAAACACCTGTATCCGTTTAGCCACCATCAATTTAGTTTTTCGGTGAGCAGGGCCTCAGTCTGAGCCGACCGTTTCCGAATGCCCTGAAATCCATGCAGGAGAATAATGCAGCAGACAAGCCTCGCTCCTGGGTGCCTCCCACTGTAACCTCCTCACCTTTTCTCACAATCCCCGAGACTGAAGTGTGTGTACGGGGGGGGGGGGGGAAATGCTTTTTCTGTGTGGTTGCAACTTACACCCTGTACTGTGCGTTTGTGTATGTATGTGTGTGTGTGTGTGCGATGCTATTATCTGCCTGCACACCAGCAGGGACTTCAGGATGAATTATTCATGCCAGATTTGAATACATGCAAATGGTCCCGTCCCCTCTCTCCTGGCACCGATCCAGGTTACCTATGGCAACGGCGCCTTCAAGAAGCATCTTTTTCTGCCCCTCCTCCTCCTCCTCCCGCTCGTCTTCCTGCTTCTCTCAGGCACCCGCCCTCTGCCCATGTTATCCACCCAGCCGCATTGTTTTTCTGCAACACCAGGCCGGGTGGCTGCACGCCATAAGGGTGGCAGGGTATCCCATAATTCACAGCCAAGGTCACAAAAGCGGGGATGATGGCGTGATGGAGTGCGGGCAGGGCCCTTCCATCCCCGAGCCGGGAAGTTCAGGAGATGGCTCTGGCCGCTGGTGAGGAGTACAGGAGCTTGGGGGGGCTGAATAATGTAATCAACAATGCGACAGACCGGGCACACACTCACATTCAATTCAGATGTGCTCCACGCTCATGTGCACCAGCCCGTGCAGGAAAATATGATAAGGCGGGCGGGGAGGGGGAGGGAGGGTGGGGGGTGAGAGAAATCAGCCGCTTTGAATGTAGGCGACTACGCTGACATCCTGTTCGCTTTAAGATTTGAAACGGACGGCATTAATGTATGAAAATAACAAATAAAACAAGTCTCTATGTGGTGTGTACCTGCATTAGATCATATTTGATGATGTGGATTCAGATGGATTTGTGCCAACACCTAGGCCTCATTCTAATTAATGAAAAAATCTCATTAATATTTGTTTTTGTGGTAGTATTTGTCTATATATTTTTTACACGGTCAGAGAATATTTTCTTATGAACAACTATGTAATAAAGGTCAGAGAAATAATGCTAAAACGTTTTATGGAAAGTGTATATTGGTTGTGTATAAAATCTAAATTTTTATTTTTTTGTAAACTGCTTACCATAATGTTGAAATATGAAAATTTGCAAATAAAAGAAAAGCAGTATATAAATAATCTACACTCTCTAATTTGCTACGCCTCAGATGTGTCTGAATTAAAACCGCTTTTACAGTCTTCCCTGAAATGTATAGAGGTAACATTTGCTTTTTTACGAGCTTAAGACAAAGAGGAAACACAACACAATCAATTTAAACATCACAGAAAGTGGACAAAGGAGTCCCAATGAGCAGGTCAAGTTTAGGCCACGAGGTGATCAGTGATTAAATAAGCTCCTCAGAGCACTCCACAGACACGTGGGGCTGCTCTCTGCTGCCATCTAGTGACGGCCTCCAACGAGCTGACTCACAAACACAGTTAAGAAATTACACTTACAGCATGTTGCAACTTTAAGTGACCAAACGCGTCATTGCACCCAGTCCTGGGATGATGGGCAACATGGGGTAAACCTGGCCCAAGTAACCACTTTCCTTTGCAGATGATAGTCCGAATGAGCATTCAGATTGACCATGAGGGGCTTGAAAACTGTCAGAATCTATGCCTCCATGAAAATACAGCAAAACAACAACTGCTGCACTTCTAAATGATTGAATATTTCTGTGTAGCTGGACAAAAAAAAAGGAAATTAAGAAAACTACCAGCCATTCTGGTGCTTGGAGAGCGTCCGGCCTTTGCGTTCCTTATCATGCGGCTCCCCCATGTGGACAAAGGCACTCAGGGCTCGGCGTACTGAACAGATACTTTATTGCAAAGACAGAGAGCAAAAACCTGCATCTTTGGACAAATATTAGTTTTGAAAAGTACGTTATTTCACATGAAATGCATGACCGAGTTACACAATGCGCACAGTCAGGTGAAAGCTGCTCCAGCATCTGCTCGATATGCGAGTACAGAAAAAAACCACAAAGTTACCAACCAAGTCTGATATTTATATATATATATATATATGTAGATTTAATTTGATCGTCTTTAATCAACATTCAGTTATTCATCCTTACAAGTACCATAATACAAATAAAAGGGACAGTGAAACTGTGCAGTCCTGCTGACATCATCACCCTCCTACAATCGCTCACACACGCATAAAAACTAAAATTGGCAGCGTCACAGGATTCAAAATTGCATAATCACCCCTCGAGTCAGTCGGGAAAAAGTGCAGCGTCACACTCTTTCTCTTAACTGAAAAGACAGAAACGTAAAAGCAAATTTAAACTCAGAAAAACGGGGTCGTCCGCGTGGGACTCAAACGTCCGGTAAAGTGCGAGCATTAAAACAAAGTCCCCCCCTGAACCGGTCTGCCAGTGGTCAGCGCCTCCGCTCTGGTGTCCGTCCTTTACGTCCTGCTGATTGTCCGATGACTACACAGAGTTGGGTTGTGTCTGTGACCAGGGGGGGGGGGGGGCTTCCCCCTCACTCTGTGTGACTGAACGCTGGCTGGGCGTCCGTAAAAGCATGCGATGATGAGTCGTGTGTGTGTGTGTGTGTGCGCACACACACAACGGTTTGCCGGCCTCTTCTGTGCCCCCCCCGGTCCCACACAGAGCCATGCAACGACCTCA